TAGAGGACCATGAGGAGGGGGTGATGGAGACCTAGGAGGCTTCTCTTACTTGCCTCTGTCTGCAGGGCTATCTGTGGAAGCGAGGGCACCTGAGAAGGAACTGGGCAGAGCGCTGGTTCCAGCTGCAGCCCAGCTGCCTCTGCTACTTTGGGAGTGAAGAATGCAAGGAGAAAAGAGGCACCATTCCACTGGATGCTCACTGCTGTGTGGAGGTGAGGGAGCAGTGCGTGGACAAGGGGCCGGGAGTAGGGGTGGAGGAAAGAGAAACCTCACTGGGATGGTACAGCTCAGACAAACCTGGCTGCCGTGAAGCCATTCTCATCCACGTCAGCACTTCTTTTCCTTTTGTAGTGTGAGTGGTCAAACCCAGCGTCTCGAGCACGACAGGCAGGTGTTCCGCCATACCAGCCCAGTGTCAGCCCCATAAAACCACCAACCAGACGCGGAAGTCATTGGTGGATTATTAAACCCCGATAGAGATGACTCATATCTACACTCCACAGCAAACCTTCCAGTTTCTTTTTTCCCTTTGACATAGGGTTTCTTGTAGTCTAGCATGGCCTTGAACTTACTTACACAGTCAAGACTGACCTTGAATTCCCAGCCCTCTTGCTTCTTCTACTTCTCAAATACTGGAATCATGTGTGTGTGTGTGTGTGTGTGTGTGTGTGTACGCATTCTCGTGGATCCATGTGCACATTTGTTTGTAGGTGTGCATTTACATATATATGGAAACCAAAGTTTAAACTAGGGTGTCATTCTCTAAGAGCTATGCACTTTGTTGTTTGTTTGGTGGTGTGTGCATTTTGCACACACATGTGCATATGCACACGGAGGCTAGAAGTCATCCTTTGATGTCATTTCTCCAGGAGTCATTTACCTGAGTTTTTGAGATACAGTCCTGTAGTGTGCTTTCTCGGGGCCACCAGTCAGCTCCCAAATGAAGATATGGCCTTATGAACCCACCAGCTCTTATAACTTAAGTCAACCTGTTCCTTTTCATCCATGTTTTGCCTTGGGGCTCTTTATCTTTCTTTCATTCTGTACGTCCTACTTTTCGTACTACTGTGTCTGGCTGGCAGCTGTCCAGCTGGTTGGCCCCAGGCGTCTTCCTCTCTTCCCTAGTTCTCTCCTCTCAAGCCTAGATTCTTCCTCCTACTTATTCTCTCTGCCCACCATCCTGCCTATCCCCCTACTGCCTAGCTATTGGCCATTTAGCTTTTAGACCAATCAGCTGCCTTAGGCAGGCAAAGCAACACCTCTTTACGTCATTAAACACGTGCAGCATAAGCAAATGTAACACATCTTTACATAGTTAAAGTGATATTCCACCCCAGAGTCCCCCACACTGAAACCTGGGGTGCACTGGTTCAGCGAAGCTGATGGGCCAGAGAAACCCAGGGTCTCCCCTCCCTCTGCCTCCTGGCACTGGGGATTATGACATGCATCATCACGCTTGGCTTTTAACCCCGTGCTTGGCTAGGACTCAGGAGCTCAGGCTTACGCAGCCAGCACTTCACTGAACTACCTCCCAGCTCTCCCAACCTCCTTTTGTTTGCTTGTTGTTAAGACAGCATATTAATGGCTCCGGTCTGCCATCTAGGGCAGCGTGGTAGCCTTTGAGCTCTGCTCTCTGCCTGTCTCTACCTCCTCAGTGCTGGTAGGAGAGCTCGTCCCATCATACCCAACTTTGGTGACACCACACCCAGCTTCCTACATGGGTGCTAGGGATTGAATGGAAGCCTTTTATAGTTGGGAATGTCATGCAACTGGTCTCGATCATATCTACACCCCCCTCCCCACCCAACTGGTCTCGATCATATCTACACCCTCCTCCCCACCCAACTTCGCATCACTTTTTCTTTTTTTTGTTCCAGGGTGGTTGTTTTTTTGTTTGTTTTGTTTTTGTTTTTGTTTTTTGAGACAGAGTTTCTCTGTATCTTTGGATCCTGTCCTGGAACTCACTTTGTAGACCAGGCTGGCCTCGAACTCACAGAGATCCGCTTGTCTCTGCCTCCCGAGTGCTGCGATTAAAAGCATACGCCACCACTGTCACCACTGCCCAGCTCATATCACTTTTTTCTTTATTCTTTTATTTTATTTTATATAAGACACAAGAGCCCACTCAGCTTTATTTACAACACGCTGTCTGTCTGTACAAGCAGCCAGCCAATATTATTCAAAATGAGGGTAGTGATAATTGACGCCTTTTGCTTTCCTCCCCCACTCCACCAGGTATGGTACTCCGCCTTTGAGCAACCACCATGCTCAAACATGGGGAGTCCAAAATTAAAAATACAGCAGATATGGAAGAAAGTAACTGGGAAGGAGAGAGAGGAAGCCACGAGGGGAGTGTTGTAGTCACACTACAGTTTATAGAAAACTAACCTGTTACAGCCCCATCCGAGCCCGGCCCTGAATGTGGAAAGGGTGGCCGATTCACCCAACAGATTTTGTCTACAGACCCAGCCTACCCTGACCCAACTGTAATGGGTCTAATTCCGGCTTTGAAGAGGCTGAAGACTCTGAGGCCCAGTTCCCAAGTGATGTCAAAGTTCCAGCCTCAAAGAGTGATGTCAGGGTTCTCCCGATTCGGGAAGACCCCTGAAACGCCGGGACTCTGGATGAAGTTCCGTGCGTTTCTGGCAACAAAAGAAGTCAGGAACATTGGTCTTCTTAATCTTAGCACAGGAGAGCTGGATCCATGTCCCACACAGGCTGCACTCAATCGCGGGCCGTCCCGCAAAGGGCTTTCTGCAGTAACATGTGCTCAGATCATGTGATCAGATCCCACAAGTCACTGCTTCTCACCTAGTTCCACCATGATGTCCTCATCCCTGACCTGCATCTCTCCCTCACTGGAGCTGGCATCTCCATCTTGGCTTGTTTCTGTGCTGCCCACCTCCTTGCCTTCACTGTCAGTAGGGGGAGCACCTTCAGGGTGCCCTGTAACAGGGGGTCTGGGGGCTTCAGGGGGTGTTGGAGCACAGGGACTGGGACTTCACCACTGCTGTCCTCTCTTCTTCATCCTCCTCCTCTTCCTCTTCCTCTTCAGAGTCTGTATCACTGGGAGGCGCCCTAGGAGGGCCAAAAGATGGAAATCTATCCCCACGATCTGCCTATTTCAACTTCCGCTTCTTTCTTCTTGCTCTTCTTGATTCGAGACCGTTGTTCCCCATCCCCAGGAGCCAGACGAGGCCTCTGAAGCACCCCAAAGCCAGCCCCACCTTCTGGTCTGAACTTTCTGTTCTTTTGGTCCTCCTTTCGAGGCTGAGAAAGGTCCCGCTGGGAAAGTGGCACGGGGGTGAGAGCAGCAGGGGACCGGGAGGTATGCGTCAGGGACGTGGGAGACAGCGGGAATGACACTTAGGGCCCCTCCAGATCAGACAGAGTCCTTGAGCTTCATCTTCCCCAGCAGAGTGGCGCTGTCAGGGGCCTCTTTGCTAGGAGGGATGTAACCTGCACAAGCCAAGACAAAACTGCAGAATTTGTTGAAATCCTCAGTTGTTCTCTGCTGTTTCTCTGGTGGCTGAGTCTCTGGCTTAAGAGTCGGAGGTGGATCTTTGGGACTGGGCTCCGCCATGGCTTCCAGCATTGCCCCCTCCTCTCCATTTGGTCCGGCAACCCCTTCCTCTAAGCCAGAACTCCTGGCGCTGCCTTGGGTGCTCCGTGTTCCTAGGGCCTTGCTCCACAGAAGTGTCTGCTTTGG